GTGTGTGTGTGTGTGTGTGTGAAGAGGTTTCAGGTGTGGAGGCAGGGATCCATCAGCAGTACCAGTTAATTATGGGCCGATGTGGATCCGGACTTATTGCACTGCACCATTAGTTTCATGAGAGGGCAGAGGCAGGGTTAAAAGAAAAGCAGTATGCATTTGCCAAGATGGCATTTAAAAAGCTCCAGTGTGTATCTCCGACTGAGAGGAAGATGAAGATAAGAAGATATGATAAGAAATGTGATGGCGAGCTGAATGACTTTATCCACATGATGAACACAGCTCTATGTCCACTCCAGCTGATCGGCATCTGCTAATGCTATAAACTTAGTGTATTATGTAAATTACTTCTGTCTGGCTGCTTTAACGCTTAATCGACATTGGAGTCGGGTGACCTCCCTGACGCCAGTCACACAGTACCACATCCAGCTCAGTTCATCACATAATTATCTTTTATTCATATTTTCCCACTCTCAGAGGTAATTCAGAGGTGTAGGTGTCCAGTGAAGAAGTCTGATTAAAAAAGTATGACGATATGAATCCTCGGCGGTGCCCGTTCATTTCCATGGCACATCGTTGAGGTGACAGTCACGATTTTCTTTGTATCAAGGACGATAAATTCACAATGTGTAGCCTTCCCCCTGCAGGCTCTTCATGCTCCCTCACCTTAATGAGCTGGGAACCGGAGCAGGAGGAAAGGAGGGGATTGCTTTTGAAGGGTCTCTTACATTCTAGGGTTGTCGCAGTGGGTCGTGGCCTCCCAATGACAGAGTTGACAGAGGAAGACAACAATAGCGTGTGTCACACACGAAATTGCTGGAATGATTGAATAGGAAAATAACCCCAGCAGATCCTCTATCTGCAGCCGTGACAGCAGAGCAGGGAGAGGTGTGATTGAGTTCAGAGTGCATTGGTATGTGGGTGGCTGAAACATATTGCTTTTTTTTCTGAGGATCGTTGCACAGTGTTTGCTTGTATGGTTCACTTTGCCACCATTTTCCCTCTTATCTGTGCGTGAGGGGAAAGACACCGCAGAGAAGTTTTCTGTGACACCATGAAACAGATATGACTGGGGCCACCGAGAACACCTTTAAAGGTGAATTCTGTGATTACAGCTGGAACAGTTAGTGGATGAATTGATTGTCAAAATAGTGGCTGATACATTTTCTGTCAAACAACCAATTAGTTGTTCAGATTAGATGCTTTGCGCTATTTGTTGATAAAAGCTGTAGACCGAGACACTCAGCTTCTCCTCCATGTTGTTTAAGCATGCCTCCATTTCTGAAGGGAATCAACACACATGCAACCGGTTATCTCCGAGCAGAGAGGACATCAGAATTAAGAGTCTTGAGTCGTGGGTGGTGGTCGTCCTGTGATGGGGTTCGTCTCTCTGGCTCTAGAGCAGAGGTCTTCAACAGGGGGTCTGCGATATTTTGGTTCATTAGACAATTTAAAAAATAAAAAAAAGAATTACATTTTTTTTTTCTCTAAACATGAATCTGTCCATTATTTGTAATAGTTCAGTATTGTATGTAAGATAACAGGTATGTTTATGCATGGCAGTGGCACTAATAGGCCATCACTCATTTTCTTTTCCATATTTATGTTTAAAATGAAAACGTCAATTTGAATAGCTTGTATGCATGATTATCATGCAATTGACAGACAATGTTGATATTGGCATTGGTATCAGCTGTTTATAAATGACAGTGACACAGCCACCCTACTCACTGAATCTTGCACATGTTTAAAATAAAAACATGAATATATGAACCTGTGTATTATTTGAATAGCTTAGTATTGAATGCACAATAAAGAGGTATACACGGTACTAGGCCCATTTAATATAAAACACAATTTTATACAATATATATAGTCGGGGGTCTCTGCTCCATCTCTCTATCAGTTTGGGGGTCCTTGGCCTGAAAAACATTGAAGACCCCTGCTCTAGAGGTTATTGTGTCAAATTAATCTTAGTTATTGTGATGGTTTTGTGGAGCTCTTGGGTTGTTGTGTGTTTTTAGGATGGAAACATTTACATGATTGGATTAGAAATATTAATGGAATGATTTTATGATATTTTTGTGTTATCAGTCTTTTGTCTGTTACCCGTTGTTATTGCTGCCTATCCTATTCTGGACACTCTTTAACAAAGGTTAAATTAAATAAATATTATTGATAAATTATAATAATAATAATCTCAACAGTGCAACATGACATCCCTGTTTTATGAAAAAACAGCATAAATGTTTCTCTTGCTTGTGAACCCTCAGATTTATGTTGTGACTGCTTGTGAGGGTCCCGACCCCCACTTTGGGAACCACAGATTCAGCTTCTGCTAATGTTGCTAATGATAATAATAATAATACTGATACTGTGTGCATATGTCTGCCTGACTGATCGAATCCCATGTGTATGTGGTTGCCCTGCATGCCTATGTATGTGCGTGTGTGTGCGTGTGAGAGCAGGTCTCCACTATGGGAAGGAGAGCATCCGCAGCAGTGGAGGCGCTGACCTTCACAACTTCATCTCCTCTGGCTTTGTGACATTGGGTCGAGGCCATCAGAAAGGTGAAGTACCCTTTCTTCCTATCCTTTCCTCTCCTTTCTCTCCCAGGAGATTGAATTAACTCCTCTTATCTACGAACACTGTGCCATATACTTGCTGAATGCTAAAGCGACCAACATACTGTTCCGCTTGCAACACTGGTGATCAACAAGACACCGACAGAGGTGAAATGTGTTATAATATGTTAATTCCCAAACAATTCAAATGATCTCCTGCCTCTGCGTTTTGCAATTAAATGCTAGCAAACACACAATATTACTGCTGCTGATGGGAGAAGGTGACTCCAAACTCGCACACACAACACACAAACACACACACATGCAGCCATTAGTCAGGGGGCAGAGTTTTCCCATGGGTAATACATTGATTAGTATGCAGCGATGTTGGCTGAGCTCTTGTGATTTATTCCCATCCATTTTGGCTCCACAAATCAGAGTGTGTGTGTGTGTGTCTGTCACCACGCGGGGGTTGTGAGGTGAACTCCTCTACCTGATACTGCTTTCGAAAGTTTAATTGAATGTGTGTGTGCCAGATTGAGAATGCTTGTAATGTTTCATGGTGGCTGACTTCTTTGGTAAAATCTACATGATTTAAATGTAATTTGCAGCATCACCCCCCCCCCCCCCCCCCCCCCACCCCCATAGCCCTACCCCACAATCTCGACCAGAGAAAAGAAAAAATGATTAGGTTCTATGAATGCTGATTCTTTTAAATAGATTTCCCCCTCCGTACAAAGATCACAACAGCATCTCCGGCTATACACTTGTCTCAACAACAGCATGGGGTACGGTTTGGCGTTCAGCATCTGTGCAGTGAAATCTGTGTTTTCTTGCAGCGGGTAGCCTTTGATTCCTCTGCAGCAAAAAAAATGAAACGTGAGAGATTGAGATCTTGGAAAAGTCTGCTGATGCTAAGATTTATTGCAAAAAAAAGTATGTAAAGCAAGGGCCTCACTTCCTTAACACTATTCTTCTTTCCAACGTCTCTGTTCGTCTGCCTTGTGCCCAGAGGCAGATATTATTGAATCCTAAAATCAATAAAACCCTGGTCTGAGGTTTGGTTTGGGTATTGTTGCTGCTTGGTATTATCTTTAGCTTCACAAGTGTACAATCACTTCAGGGTCGTGGAGGGAAACGAACAGTTTAACCAAGCCTCCCCCGCTCTCTCATAGTCTCTTCACAAGCACTCTTCATATGCACAAAAGCAGAATGGCTTCAATTACATTATATTGCACTTCTCTCCCTGATTAATTGGAGGATATAACTTGGTTCTACCTACAGTAAATTCAGTGTTTTTGACAACACACTGTCATTTATGTTTCCAGTTGAAGGATTTATGAATTTATTTGAAATCTGTGGATGGATTTTAATGTGCAGCACGGTGAACCTGTGAGCTGATGTCAACTGGCAGTGATGAAATGGAGTCACATTAAGGTTAACAGCAAGTAAACAGTCCGGTTGAATAAAAATCATACTGAGCCTCATTATTTTTGAAGAGGTTTGCACAGCTTGGTTTGCTCTGGCAGAGAGTAACGACGCTAGAAAAAAAGAGTGCAAACAGTTAGTTTCCACATGAATCTGGAGACAGATGTTGTCTTCTTCTCACTTGTTTTCTATATGTTTTTTTGCCACACTGACAGAACAAGGTTTAGGAGTCACGATGTAGTCCTCCGGCCTGGGTAAGCATGCCGTCTCTTACGGTGCTTAATTATACAGGCAGAAAGTGTGTTTGGTTGTTAATTATATGGCAAGCTGTGTGTGTGTGTGTGTTTGTGTGTGTGTTGCAGTGCAGCCCTTGGGGAGAACAGGTGAGGTCAATGAGTGCTGCTTAGCGTCAGAGCAGCTGGATGCTTCACATCTGTGTGGCGGGTACAAAACAACCCTGTCCTGAACTCTAAATGAGATCTGCTCGTATTGCAGTACGAGAGTTTGTTGTCTGTATCTTTTGGTAAACTAACCTGCCCCTCAGCTTACCCTGCATACTTTTTCTTTAGTTAGTAGTGTCCTAGATTTTCCAAAATGTCTTTCAGCAACCTTTAGAGAAGGGTCATGAACTTGTCTTGAACATCTCCAGGTTACACAGAGATGGAGTTTTAATCTGCATCCTGTTTTACTGCATTCTGATTCTAAACATGGTGTGTGTTCACACTGGAAAAGTGACAAAACTAAGCTTTTATTTCGAAGCAGCTATAGGAAATGCAATGTCACCAAGAGCAATGGAGCAGTGTTGTCTAAATATGAATAGTAAGAATTGTTGTCCACTCTAGTGCACTCAAATTATCCCACAATGCAACATACAAAGTAGTTAAGTTCAGGAAGAAGATGCTAGCTACAATCTTTCATTGCAAGAAATATATAATATAATCTAAGCAAAGTATAAAATTGACATACTATAATAAGAATAACTGGTATATATAATGTGTAGTTCAATCATGTTGGACCAAAAAGTAAGAAATCATTGTAAAACGCTTCATTCTGAATACACGTTGAAGGGACTGTGATGATCATCTGTCTCTCTTCTAAAACTACAGCACATGTGTAGAAGACAGTGAACTCTTTGTAATTATAGAATGGAGTTAGCAATTAGGACACAGCACTGTAGATGATGTGGAAACATGAATTTCACATGTGATACAATCATAGATATGTTGAATAGGCTCACATGATTTTCGGACATATCACGTGAAATATAAGAGCACATGTGAAAACGTAACATGCTTTTTTTAAAACGCAACTCTTCAAGAACAAGTCATTCTGAATGAATCATCACTATGTGCAATGTTATATGGAAGGAGACCAAGACCATTAACGTGAGGGAGAACCAATCCTCCAGCACAGACAAGCTTTTTGTGCAAGAATATTTAATTTTTCACAATTTCATGACTCCTTCTGTAAAGAGTCAGGTGCAGCGTGAGGGTGGGTGGCCATCTGTTCCCTGCATTGTTTCCCTTTACTCAATGTCCCAGGTCTGTCCATACAGTCATGAACATCTCGAAATCCTGGCTGCAGAGGTGGTTTTGATTTGGTATTTGGATGTGAGTGCTTCATTTTTAAGGGGAGATTTAATGGCACAAACACATGGGGTCACTGTTGTTTGTAAATTATGTTTTATTTTTTTTATTCCTCCAAATGTTTTAACTCCAGCCTTGATTTCTTTTTTCCCAGCGTGACAATCTTTTAGTAATGCTAAACTTTATTCAGCATGCACAGCTGCTTACCTTGCTCCTGTCCCCTCAGCCATTTGTCCAGATCGATGCACCGCCTCACAGATTCCTTTGCTCCTGTGCATTCTGTTGTCTTCTTGTCCAAAATCAGGAGGCAGTAATGTTGAGGTTTCTATCAAACTGAGCCAAACTAATGAGGATGCTCACTGATCTGTTGTGTGTGTGTGTGTGTGTGTGTGTGTGTGTGTGTGTGTGTGTGTGT